ATTTCTTAGACAATGTTCGAATTAATCGACCTAAGTTAAATTAGTTTCTCTAGCCCAATTACATGTCGAATTTTTTTTATAGCCCGATTCCTAAGCCCAATATTGAGGCCCAATAAACAACTCAAATCCTAATTTTTCTACCTACTATAAATACTACACTATCTTCTTCTCCTCTCCCAACACAATATCAAAAACCCTAGCCACCACTCCACCTTCTACCAAACAAAATTCGGCCACACCAGCTCCGGCGAGCCGCCGCAGTGCCTAGCTCCGGCGAACCTCCACGCCGGCGAGCACAACCACTTCCACGCTGTTCGCTGCGCCACACCGAGCCCACCTCCACGCAGCTCCTCGTCTCGCCGGTTCCAGTCATGCCGCCACCACACGCAGCTCCGGCGACCTAAACCCACGGCCACCTCGTCGCGTTCTCAAGCTCACTACCAGCTCCGGTTCGCTCTCCTGCAGCTCAACCCGTCAATCTCCCGAGCTCACCTCCGCAGCTCCGGCGACCACTCTCATGTCGTCGTCCCTTCACGCCGTCGCAACTCGGTTTTCACCGCCGGCGAGCACCGACGCACCGTTCCCAACTCAGCCTCGCGTCGCTGCGTCTATTTCCTGGCGAAACCCGCACCGGCGGCCCATCCTCACCTCAGCCTAGCTCCGTTCGGCCGTCACCTGTTGCAGCTCGAGCTCAACGGTTTCTTGGTGATTAGTTGGCCGACCTTCAGATCCCCCTGTTCTTTGGCAGAGCAGAAAAAACAACCGGTGGGCGGGACGCCATCCCGCTCTCAGCTTCGCTTAAAAAAGAAAACACTCCAGAACTCGTCGATAGAGGGAAACGGCAACTTTTTCTGTTTGCAAAGGACCAAAAGGCCGAGGATTTTCTTCCAACTGTTCGGCGTGATCTGACTGATACCGATTCCCCAATCTCGGAGGTAGTCGGTAATCATGTTGGGAAGGGGGAACCTCAACCCCGACCTGATACTCTCCGCAAATACCCCAACGCAGCCAGGAGGAGGGGAGTGGATCCTCTCCCCAGGGTATGGGGCGAACATCATCACCGTAGGAGGGATACGAGCCGACTTCCTCAGTAACACCACATCGGCGTCGGTCATCGAACTAGGTTCGCCAGGGAAAGTCGCATCGGCATCGGCCCAGCGACGGGGAGGTCGATTCCAATAGCCTTCGCAGATGGGGAGATCTTTCTCGACCTCAGCGTCGCCTTCATAATTATTCTTCTTAAGGACCAAACGCCCGGCCAACACCGGGTCCCAACGGTAGTACCCTAATGCCAACTCCACGTCCGCCTCCTCGTCAGAGGAAGATTCACGAGCCACCTCGTCGGAAACCGTCCGACTACTGCTATCAACCTCTCGTTCCGCCATCGTCCAGACGACGGATAGAACTTCGAAGACAAGGGAAAAGAAAAAAGGTACAAGGACAGAAAAATAAAGATAGATTGGAGAACTCACCACGAACAGACGACAAAGTCGGGGACGTCGGGAACCAGAGATCAGGGGAACTAAGGGAGGTATGTGTGAAAGGAATGAAAGCCCGATTCTGGGTAAAGGATGATTTGATTCGGAAAATTGGAGAAGAGGGGGTATTTATGCTCGAGCAATATGACCGTTATAAGAAAACTGACGATTCACGAACCGCCGCCTTTAAAGATGGAGACGTTTTGCGCTGTCCAAACGGTTACACGTGGACGAACAAGAACCTGCCACGTAATAAAGCTGTCAGAGATCGTGGGAACGTGTAATGAAGGGACGTAACTGCTTAAAATCGGGGGAATCGAGTGCGTCGCTCCGCATCGACACGCACCGTACGGGAGGAGTTGTGAACCCCAAGTAAGAAAAGTCACATTTGTTGGTTAAGTATAAGAAGTCGGCTGGAGTCCTAAAGCAGGAGGTACTAACAGAAGATGGAAGATGACATTAAGGTGGACCAAAGTATATGTCCCCCCTCAACGTCAGGGGCCTCAATGTTGACATAAAAATTCTCTCAGACGTCGGATGAACGACACGTGGATGAAAGGAAGAAATGGGATCGATCCGAGTAGAACGAAGAGAAGGTTTCCGAGCTGTATAAACCGACCTCGGGGAGCCGACTACGCCAAGACGCCGACCCCGCAGCAAAGGCGACCTCAAATATGGGTCGACGTCGGTACCGACAGGCAGCATTAAATGCACGTCCATCAGATAGCTGAGAGCCACGTGAGGGCATCATTGCAAAGGGGTCCCACTTGCTGAAAAAGGTCTGGGCCCTGTCACACTACATTAAATGCCGCCGCATCCCCTCAAAAGACGAGCCCACAGTTACTATAAATAGCTGCATTAAACACAATACGAGGATCTTTTTCGGACACATTAAATTCCGCATTAATCACCTCGGTTCAGTCCAATTTGAGACATTATTGTACTACAAAAAAACCGACCTCAAGTCCAACCTACCGACTTGAGTCTGTTACAAAATATCCCACGACTGATCAATAAAATCACCTCTTTTCTTCATTAACACCGAGATCCAACACTTAAAAAGGTTGATCAAATCCGTTTTTCTTTTCACGAACCTCCAGACCTAAGGAACAACCCTCAATATAGTTCCTTTCAAGTTTCCTCACCAAAAACTCAATATTGTTAGGATAATTTTCTCCGCTTTTCTTTTTATTTTCTCATGCTTGGATTGTTGGACACAAAGACATTTGGATTGAAATCTTTGAAGTCTTAATCTGATTGTAAGTTTTTCAATTCTATTTTATTATTGTTGATTGGTTTAATGTTCTTAATTCCAGTTAACATGAGATTGAATCTAAGCATGAGGTAATCCATTCACCTAGGGTTAGGGATTTTGATTCTTGTTTGAATTATGTGGAATGTGTTTTGTTCAATCTATGCGAGTTGTGTGAATTATATGGTTAGTTGATTGATCACCATTCTAACCTAGTTAATCAACGTGTAGAACCGAGAGGGGAGGCGTTGGTCGATTTAGGCTCGTATAGAATAGACATGTTCGGAAACGTATTGTCTATGTGTTGCTTGTTTGAATGAGTTTATCGTTTATGTATGTGCTCTTGTTACGAAGAGTTATTGAGCATAGCCCTCTAGACGTGTAGGCTTGTTAAATCTCGTAACCGAACAAATAATCATTCAACATAGTTTGAAACTTGATGAGATTTCCCGACCCCTAGAACTTCTTCTTTTTCTCTAGAAATTTAATTGTTATTTCTTTAAATTGTTTTTCTAGTTTTGGCTTGTTTTAGTTAATTCTCCAAATCAACCGTGATTAGAATGTTTAGGATTTATTTTCTTTAATTTATTTTCTTACGAACAAGTAGCACTGGAGAAGAAAATGGACTATGACTCGGCTGAATAATTTTTTGTCCTAGCATTTCTTTAACAAGCCGTTCAATTTCTGCCTTTTAGAAGTGAGGATACCGATATGGTCGTACGTTTACCGACTTGCTCTGGGGAAATAAATGAATTTTGTGGTCAGATTTTCTCCTTGGGGGCAGCCCTCGTGGTTTGGAAAATACATCGCAAAATTCCCATAGCAACGAAGAGATAGTCGGGAATCCCTTGTAGCGCCACCTTTGATAACTCATCCCAAGTAGTTGATTCCGCCTCTGTTAAATGCCACCATGACAGCTCATACATCCTCTCCACATTCGACCATTGCTTGCAATTGATTGAAAGAAATCTTTCTCGATGCCAACTCCTTGTTGCCCACAAGTTTGACTCTATTTCCAGCCCACTTAAACTCCATTGACATGTGGTTATAGTCATGAACCATCTGCCCTAACTCTTGCAACCAAGGAACTCCCAATACAATTTCCGGCCCATGGATTGGCAAAATAAAAAGATCAACAATAAATTCGGCCCCTTGCAGCTCAAGCTTGACCTGTGGACAAAAGCTTCTACACGACATTGAGTCCCCATTGCCAATGTAAACCCTAAATGGGGTCGCCAACTCCAGCGGCAATTGTAGCCTTTCAACCATATCCGGGTGCATGAAGTTATTGGTGCATGAACAACCTCCTTTAAAACTACTCACTCTACAACCTCCCAACCTCAACTATAACTTATTTTTAATATGAACAAACTAAATGAGCAACTCCAAATTTCTCCACGATTAGAGCTGTTAAAAATATCGAGTTCAAATGTAAACACAACTCCCTTATCGTTTTAAAAAAATCGAGTTCAAATTGAACTTAATTCACAAAATATAAACAACGCAAATGAATAACTCCAAATTATCTTAGCTTTTAAAATAATCGAGTTTTTTTTTTGCAAACACAACTCTCTTCATCTCGTGAAAGTTCGAGCTTGATTTAATCAAACTTATTTATTAAGTGAGTCGAACAGAGTTTGTTCACGAGCAAATTTTTTATTATTATTTTTTATTCACGGTTTGATGTTTATTAAACGAGACGAATCAATTTTTCACAATTTCACGAGCTTACACGAACCGAGTCGAGTTGAATCGGTTATGTTATTAAACAATGATGCAGACCCTAGTAAGATATTGTCCGCTTTGGGCTACTTCCGCCACCCGCACGGCTTTGTTCTTGGCTGGGCTTCAATACACACCCACCAAAACGCGTCTTACTAGTGAAGGTATCCACATCCTCATATAAGGCCTGCTTCGTTTCCTTTCAAACCCGATGTGGGATGCGCTGCATCAAACAAGCATAATCTTGAACATGATTTATTATTAAAACAAGCATAATCTTGTACATGAGCTATTAAACAAGCAAAATATTACGGTATACCCTTTGGTCACATGTCAAAACCGGCAGCTTTTGAAATTTTCCCAGCTGACCAAGGCTGAAACTTGAAATTGAACACCATTTTGCATAAACACTACAGTTGCAATAAAATATTTTTGCATACTTTCCTCAACGGCAGCTTATATTACCGATTCGCTTCCATCTCCGGTCAATTTCAAGATATTTGTCCAAAACACACAACACCTATCCCACCCAAAATACTTCATCCGCGATGCAAACCTTAACCTCCTCAAGCAACGAAAGCCGCCTGGTAAAATCCGTGTGCGCCATTGTCATAAAGGGTTATTGGGACAGAATCTTGAAACCAAAAATCGGTTCTTTGGTGACTTCATCCGTCACGACCCAAGCAATACTGAACCTCTCTCCTCACGGGTTCTCATTTTCATGGCCGTTTTTCAAATGGGTCGAGGCCATTCCCCGGTACAAGCATTCCCTGCAATCGTGCTGGGTCATGATTTGCGTTCTAACAAAGCACCGACGATTCAGGACCGCTCAGAGCTTGCTCGAAAAAGTTGCCCGCAGGGAATTCCTATCTTCCCCGACCGTTTTGAACGCGCTTGTGGGTAGTTACTGTGACCCGGATGTGAATTCGCATGTTTTGAGCTGGTTGGTGATTTCCTGTGCTAATACAAAGACTAATCGAGATGCACTCCAAGTGTTTGATCATATGCGTGTGTGTGGATATAAGCCCCATTTGCACGCCTGCACCGTGCTTCTCAATTCCCTGGTCAAGGAGAGGTTGACCGATACCGTTTGGAAAACTTACAAGAAAATGACGAAAATCGGGATCGTTCCCAATTTGCACGTTTACAATGTCTTGATTCATGCTTGTTGTAAGTCGGGAGATTTCGAGAAGGCGGAGGGTTTCTTGAGCGAAATGGAGTCGGAAAACATTTTTCCCGATCTTTTCACGTATAATACTCTAATTTCAATGTATTGCAAGAAGGCAATGCACTATGAGGCCTTGTGTGTTCAAGAAAGGATGAAAGTAAGCGGAATAACTCCCGATATTGTGACTTATAACTCGCTCATTTATAGCTATTCTAGAGAAGGCAGAATGAGAGAGGCTTTGAGGCTATTCAAAGAAATTAAAGGCGACATTTTACCAAACCATGTAACATATACTACTTTGATCGATGGGTTCTGCAGAGCAGGTGATATTGATGAGGCCTTAAAATTACGCGAATTAATGGAGTGCAAAGAATTATATCCAGGTGTAGTTACGTTTAACGCTATTTTACGAAGGTTGTGTGAGGAAGGCCGGATACAGGACGCGAATAGGCTGTTGAACGAGATGGGCGAAAGAACAATTGAGCCCGATAATGTGACGTGTAACACATTGATAAATGCCTACTGCAAGATTGGTGATATGAGGTCTGCATTGAAGGTTAAAGGTAAAATGATCGAGGGAGGATTAAGGCCCGACCAGTTTACGTACCGGGCTTTGGTTCACGGGTTTTGCAAGGCCCGTGAGGTGAACAATGCTAAGGAGATGCTATTCGATATGATTCGGGCAGGATTTTTTCCGAGCTCCTGCACTTACGCGTGGCTCGTGGATTTTTACTGCGGTCAAAACGATTTTAACAGTATCTTGGGTTTGCCTGCTGAGCTGGCTGGAAAGGGAATCCTTGTTGACATCAGCGTGTATCGGGCAATCATTCGGAGGCTGTGTAAGCGAGAGAGAGTTGATTGCGCGGAAAGAATTTTTACAGTTATGCAAGAAATGGGGATATTAGGAGATACCGTGATTTGTGCGAATATGGCTTACGCGTATTTTAGAGGTGGTGATGGTAGTTCTTTTTCGGCATTTTTGGATGAGATGTATCGAAGGAGATTGATGGTTACACTCAAAATCTTTAGGAACATTAATGCCTCGTATGCAAATGATAGGGACTGTTTGGATATGTTTTGGAGTGCTCTGCTCGATAGAGGCTTGATTTCCAAGAGTATTTACAAACAGATGCAGCAATAAAAAAAATCGAGAGAAAATTTGTTATCGAACCCGAATCATATATGTTTATATCATATCTAGATCTATATGCACAGTAGTTATAGCAAAAGATTTGTGGTCTTGTGACAATATGGTAAATTCTTTTCATGTTATTCATCTTTTAATTGCACATAAGTCTTACATTTTCATCTGGTTATCCTGATTATTGTACTTTTTTTTTTTCACTCTTTTTTGATAGGTTGAGGCTCTTCAAGATAATATAAAAGAAGAAATGAAGGTATGAAGCTTCTCTGACTCTGATTGCTACTCGTTTGAATTTAATTTTGGGTTTTTTTGTTTTTAATTTATGGTGCTAATTTAGTGTTAATTGCAAAACTCATCCAGTTAGAAACTTTTTGTGTCATTTTAGGGCTTTAATATTCAGAAGATAAATAAATTGTCAGTTTCGTGTACTTTGGGACGCAATTTATCAAAAACTTTAAAATTTTATATGACAAAGTTATAAACAATTTTTACTTTTAGTGGTTAAAAAAAATTAAAAGAACATTCCCATTTTATATATTTATATATATTTTTCAAAAGCAGCCAAAATATTTATTGATCAAAATAAGTTTCTAAAAGCTCCAATTTTTATGGATCAACAGACAACAATTGAGCAGAAGATTTGATTTTTGTCCACATATCCTCAGTCCATTGAGTGACCTCTGAATAGCTCTACCCTCCTTGTGTGCCTGACACGTGTGAAACAGACACGTGGCAAGCATTGAGCAGGCCTGAAAATGGCTATAAATATCTCTACCATCATCTATATCTTCAGAATTAAGCAAGAAGTAATTAACTTTACCAAAGCATTTCACTCACATTTCAGCATTTTCTCATTTTTATCTGCTTCGAAAGGATTGTTCGGACCTGAAAAATGGACAACTCCAACAGCATGAGCTACCAAGCTGGCCAAGCCAAAGGCCAAGCTCAGGTTTTTTACTTTTTTCATACATATTTTTAATCGCAAATTCTTGGCGAGTTGACTCGTCAAACTATATAAATAAAAAATGCATTATTTATACTATTAAATGTCATAAAGGTATGAATATGGATCGTTTACATAATTGTTATATATGCGAAAAATAATGTGCAGGAAAAGGGTAACCAGATGATGGACAAGGCTAGCAATGCTGCACAATCGACTAAGGAATCAATGCAACAGGTCAAATTATAAAACCGTGCTTATATATAACACAAATATTCATGATTAATTATATTATAATTGTTCAATATTTGGACTTTTTGTTTTATTTTATTTTTGTGAAGGCTGGAGAGCAAATGCAGGCCAAGGCACAAGGTGCAGTTGATGCTGTGAAGAATGCTACCGGCACGAACAAATGAGGGCTTTAATCAATTAGCAGTTTCTCACGATTCGTGTTTCGGCATTTTATCGATTTTTTTTTTCATTTTATTACTATTATTATTATTTATGATATTTTGTTTAGTTTTCTGAGGTGCTGACTGCTGAGACTGTTCAGCTTGGCACTTGGCTTAGATTTAGTTTGGGCAAATCTGTAGTTGCTCTATGTTTGGAGATTGGGAATTTTTTGTGAATGTTTTGCTCTGTGATTCATTCCAACTTAAGAAGCATCCAACTATTTTTTTTTTTTTTTTTTTTTTTTTTTTTTTTTTTTTTTTTTTATTTATTTCAACTACATTTACCAAACATTTTTACGAATCCAATGGAGCATTTTCTTTTCAAACGATAAATTGAGATGTAATATGAAATTGTACTGATTAAAATTGATAATGTAGAGAAGTTGAGGCTTGCTTTGTTATGAATCGTAGTTATGTGAGTAATATAGATATTGAATTTTAAATGGAAATGCATTATAAGAATGCGTTTATTTGAAAAAAATGAAAGGGAAATGCTATCATTCTATTACGGGATGGTAAAGTAATATAGATATTGAATTTTAAATGGACATGCATTGCAAGAATGCGTTTATTTGGAAAAATTGGGAGGGAAATGCTATCATTCTATTACGGGATGGTAACGAGATGGTAGCATTATCCAAATTTTGAATCATATAAAATGAGAAAAACAATGAGATGGTCAACATTGTATAATTTTGTTGAAGAAAAACTAATGAAATGGAAATTATAAGTAGTTACTAGTTAGGATCCTAACTTCCACAAACAAGAACTCCTACAATGGTTTAGGGCATGATTGTTTATGGAATATTTCATCCAAAATATTTCAACTCAAATATCTAACTGAACTTTAACTCAACTCCACTATCTTTAATATTATTCATATAATTAAATAATACAAACCAATCATTCTTACACATCACATCAACTTTAATTCACTATCCATCCATTCACATAATTTTAACTACCAATCATTTCCAATCATTTATCTCCTACTTTATATCAAATCAATTTTAATCATTTTATTTTAAATATTATTTTAATATATTTTTTAAATCCCACTAATAATTAACTACACTACTTTTTCAACTTTAACTATAGTTAACAAAATGAAATATTTTGGATGAAATATTCCATAAACAATCATGCCCTTAGTTATTAGTTTAATTATGCGACATTATGTCCTTTTTTGAAAGATAGTTTTGTATCCAAATCCAAACTATATAATAAAGCAGCGATCATGACATATGTACATATATAAATATAATTGCTACCAATTCATTAAAAAAATTACTTACGTGGCACCTAACTTTCTAAAAATTGATTATGTTAATTAAGATAAAATTGTTATATTTTATATTATTGAGTAATAATTATATTTTTTTATTATATCATATAATAGTTATTATGTTTATTTACTCTTTTTTTTCACAATTCAATTTCTATATAGTCTATATTTAAATCAAAACATAAACTTTTAGAATATCTTTTTAGGCTAATTTGATGTTTATAATTAGTTTATATAATTTTTTTCCAAATAAAATATCTATATTGTGGTATGTTAACACACGAAAATTTCATTCTCTTAGTAGAAAAAACCCTCTTTTCCTAAAGACCCTTCGCCGACGTCGCTCCTCCAATCCTTCACCGTTCGGCCTTCCTTAGCGGCGACAGACTTGGGCTTGCGGTCGCCCTCAACTGCTCGGCCCATCCCGGATGCCATCTCATCTCCGATGCCGCCGAAGACTGATGGATTGTCGCGGCTCTTCTACTGCCGCTTTTGCTTTTTCAAGTGAAATCTGGTGGTCAGGTCGCCGGATTCTGTGTCAGCGGTGGCGTAGGGAGGGACGAGGGTCTGTGGATGGGTCGGGGCTCTGGCGGTTGCGACGAATTTGTCGGGTCGGTCAGAGATTGGGACTTTGCACCTCCATATCGGGACTGCGGCCGCCTCCAGCTTCTGGGACCGCCTTGGAGGTAAGTTTCCATCTCTTGGTTGTGTTGGGTTGCGATTGGGGCTGCTGGGGATCTTATTGGTGGACTACGGTCTTCCGACGAGATTTTTGGGCTTCGGTCGCCGACGAGTTTGTTGTTTGGAAAGGCGGAGTCGTGTAGCTATGGGTGGGGGTGTTGCTCTGGATGCTGAAGTGTTTTCAATGTCGAGGAGGCCGACGTCGAGTGACCGAACCACCTTCACCGTTCTCCGTTCGGCTAGTGGTGTTAGGCAGCGGGGAATTGAGTCCTCTCGACCTCGACTAGTGGTGTTAGACGAGTTTGGTTGGAGCTGGTGTGGGGGCTGGTTTCATTGTTCTTCTGGTTGGTGGCGGGTCGGTTTTCGAAGTTTAGTTCGTGTTTGGGTTCTGTATTTTGTATAGGCCTTGTGGAAGTTTCGGAAGTGGCTCCTTAGATTTGAATTTTGCTTCGATATCGACCATTCTCTGCTAGCTTGGTTCATTGATCTGTTGTGGAATGACTGATTTTTCTCTTTGTTTTTGTGTTAGTTGTTTTTTTGTGGCAGTCTTGTGTTTTTGGTCTGGGCACTTTGCATGAGTGCTTTTGTTCTGGGCCCTCGGCCTAAGTTGTTGTTCTGTGTTTTTTTTTTTTT